TGGTTTCATGTAGATGTTAAAAAGGAGTGGAGAGAGTACCGAACCCTGCAGCACCCCACAAAGCAGGGGTCATGGGCTGGACCTCTCACTGCCTATCAACACTGATTGGGACCAGCCTTGGAGGAAGGAGGTGAATCAGCACAAAACTGTGCCACCCACCCCCAACTCCCCAAGCCACCTCAGAAGGATACCATGGTCGAAAGTTGCTGAGAGGTCAAGAAAAGCAAGGATGGATGCACTACCCCCATCCTGCTCCCACCAGAAATCATCCAGAAGTGCAACCAATGCTGTTTTAGTCCCAAATCTGGGCCTGAAACTCAACTGAAAAGGGTCCAGATAATCCGTTTCATCCAGGATCCTCTGGAGCTGCAACACCACCACCTTCCCTAAAAAGGGAAGGTGGGAGACTGGATGAAAATTGTCCAGTATAGTGGGATCCAGTGATGGTTTCTTGAGGAGGGGGTGCACCAATGCCTCTTTAAAGGCCGCTGGAAACACTCCTTCTCTCAAGGATGAAATCACCATCACTTGGACCTACCCACGTCACCTTCCAAACTGCCTTAACCAGCCAGGAGGGGCATGGAGCTAATTGACAGGTGGTGGCATTTACAGCCTGGAGGACCCTGTCCACTTCCTCAGTCCAACAGGATCAAACTGTTCCCAGATAACAGGGCAAGTATGTACCCCAGGCATCTCCACAGGCCATGCTACATGCTTGGCATCCAACTGGGAACGTATCTGAGCAATTTTATCTGCCAGATGCCCAGAAAACTCCTCTGCATGGCCCTGTAGGTGGGTCACTGGGCCTACCTTTTCCGGAAGAGATTGAGTGATCTTAAACAGGGCTGCTGGGCAGCATTCTGCAGATGCAATAAAAGCAGAGAAATGTTGATGTTTCGCCACTCTTACCACCACAAGGTAGGCCTTAATAGTGGCTCCAGCCTGTGTTCAGTCGGATTCGGTCCTTGTTTTCCTCCAGCAGTGCTCTAGACATCTCTTAATCCTTTTCAAGACCCTCAACTCCTCCGTAAACCATGGGAAGCATCAGGCTCGATGGGTCAAAAGAGGTCGCATGGCCGCGATCTTGTCCAAGGCCTCGGCCAATGTGATGGAATGGAATTATGAAGGCCAGGCTCAGAGATATAAACATTTTCTTAGCTCGCCA